AACTCCATGAAGACTTTATTAGCAACCAAGACATTTTGTGCTAGTGTAATTCAGCCACAGAGAAGAAGAAATGTGGTCCTGCATAGTGTTCCTATTTATATGACATTTGCCTTTGTTTCGGTTGATATAGTCTGTCTTATTGTCTCTCTCATAAATTTAGTAGATGGGTTGTTCAATATGGTTCAATCTCAGTCAACTCTTTCACCTCTTCTCCTTCATTCTCTCCTTTGTCCAACTAACTCCTTCCCGTGCACAACTTTGCCCTCAAGACCAGAGTTTTGCATTGCTCCAGTTTAAGAAACAATTTTCCTTCGATGAATCTGCTTCAAAGGTATGTGAATTTCGCAACAGAATTCCTTCTTATCCAAAACTCAAATCTTGGAAGAACGGTACTGATTGTTGCTCATGGGATGGGGTGGAGTGTGATTGGAGGACCGGTAATGTAATCGGCCTCGACCTCAGCTGCAGCTGGCTATATGGCACCATCCATCCCAACAGCACCCTCTTTCTCCCTCCTCATATTCAAAGCCTCAACCTTGCTTACAACGACTTTGTTTCCTCTCCATTTCCATCTAATTTACTTGCTCGGTTTTCCAAATTGACAAGTTTGAACCTCTCTTCCTCTGGATTCTCAGGCCAAATCCCATTAGAAATTTCGGAACTATCTAATCTGGTTTCACTTGATTTCTCACGGAATAGTCAATTGAGATTGGAGAAAGCTGGTTTTGAATTGCTTGTTCAAAACTTGACCCAACTGCGAGAGCTTAATCTTTATGAAGTAAACGTCTCTTCGGTGATACCACGTCCCTTGTTAAATCTAACTTCTTTAGCATTCCTCGACCTTTCCTATTGTGAATTGCTGGGAGAAGTTCCTGATCAACTATTTCAACTGCCAAATTTGAAGGAGTTAGATATAGGTTTTAATAAGGCTCTCACCGGTCATTTTCCAGAATTTAACTCGAGCAGTCCCCTTCAGTTCTTAAGTCTTTACAACATAAATTTCTCTGGAGAATTACCCGACTCAATTGGAAACCTGAAGTTCTTAAATGTTTTGATTATCGGCAGTTGCGGATTGTCAGGACAAATTCCACCATCACTTGGGAACTTGACACAAATCAGTTGGTTGGATCTTGATAGCAACAATTTCATCGGTAAGGTTCCACCTTCGCTTTCAAACCTTGAGCAGCTCATTGTTTTGTCTCTTTCGGACAACCATTTCGAAGGCCCAATCGCAAGTGTTTTTCCTACTACGAAAAATCTTCAAGTTTTATATCTCGGAACGAATAACTTCAGTGGGCAGATCTCATCATTATTTGCCAACGCAACACTACAACAACTCATTGTTCTAAACTTGTCATATAATCAACTATCTAGAACTCTACCTTCACAAGTCAATGGGCTTTCACATTTAAGGGTGCTCAGGCTAGATTATAACTTTATCAGTGGGGCAATCCCATCTTGGATGTTTAACCTACCAGCACTGGAATCTTTAAACCTCAGTTATAACAAATTGACTGGCCCCATTAACGAATTCCAATTCAATTCATTGCGCTACCTTGATTTGGGTTCTAACAAGCTGTATGGTAACATTCCAAGTTCAATCTTCCAACTTGTGAACCTTAGCTACCTTGATTTGGGTTCTAACAAGCTGTATGGTAACATTCCAAGTTCAATCTTCCAGCTTGTGAACCTTAGCTACCTTGATTTGGGTTCTAACAAGCTGCATGGTAACATTCCAAGTTCAATCTTCCAACTTGTGAACCTTAACTACCTTGATTTGGGTTCTAACAAGCTGCATGGTAACATTCCAAGTTCAATCTTCCACCTTGTGAACCTTAACTACCTTGATTTGGGTTCTAACAAGCTGCATGGTAACATTCCAAGTTCAATCTTCCAACTTGTGAACCTTATTTATCTCGATCTTTCATCAAATAACTTGAGTGGCATAGTCTCTTGCGGTGCAAATTCTCTTGGAATTCTCATTTTATCTCGTAACAACTTAAGTGGTGTTACAAAGCATTGCTTGAGAAAGTTAAGCTGGAGTCTCTTGGTGCTTGATCTCCAGAAGAACAACTTTTATGGGAACATTCCTAACACATTTGCAAAGAACTGTAGCTTGGAAACTGCAAATTTGAACAACAATGCATTGAGAGGGCCAGTACCAGATTCTTTAGTAAAGTGCAGATCGCTACAAGTTCTTGATCTCGGAAACAACAAGATAAAGGATACATTTCCATATTGGTTAGAAAGTCTTTCATATCTACACGTTCTTATTTTACAATCTAACCGATTCTACGGGCCTATAATTACTTTCATGACCCAATTTCCCTTCCATAATTTGAGAGTTTTTGACATTTCGTACAATGATTTCACCGGGCCTCTGCCAACAAAATATTTCAAAAACTTCAAAGCTATGAGGAACATCGATGAAACCACATTCCGCCTAGAATACATGAATAATTATTATAGAAGATATTATTTTGATTCAATTACTATTACACTCAAAGGATCGAGAACTCAAATGGAGAAAGTCCTTAATACCTTCACGGCCATTGATTTATCAAAGAACAGCTTTGAAGGGGAGATTCCGAAGATAACTGGAACGCTAAATTCAGTTCGAGGCCTCAACTTATCTCATAACAAGCTCACAGGTCATATTCCGACACAACTTGGGGATATGAAAACACTTGAATGGTTAGACCTCTCTTCAAATAAGTTGGATGGACAGATTCCTCAGCAGTTGACAAGTTTGATGTTTCTACAAGTCCTAAACCTTTCGCACAACCAACTAACAGGGCCCATACCTCGAGGCAAACAATTCGATTCATTCATAGAGAACTCGTATGAGGGCAACTCTGGACTATGTGGATTGCCATTGCCGAAGTCATGTGGCCACTCTAGAGCACCACCACAATGGGTACTGCAACAAGATGATTCTTCAGAGTCTCCAACTGGATTCGTGTGGAAAGTGACGTTCATGGGGTATGGATGTGGATTGGTACTTGGGCTTTCTATGGGATATATTATGTTCTCAACTGGAAGGCCTAAGTGGATTGTAAGGCTGGTTGAAAGTCAAGGAAACAAAAATGGGAGGAGGACAAAGAAGCATGTTCATAGGCACAACGGTAGAAGAAACAAGCCAACACAAACTGCACTGTCTGAGGTATGTGTTGCGAACATTTATTTGTTTTGAAATATCATATACTTTTCCCCTGTGAGATTCTAAAATTATCCTAGGCTCTTTTTCTTTAACTAAATGAGTGAATCACAATTTTGAAATCAAAACCACAAAGGCCAATCGGACAGAGAAAATGTTTTAGTAGCTACTAAGTATTGGGTTCTCATTCCAAAATAATTAGTCCATTCTTAAATATTGGCAGTTTGTCAAGCCATACCCAATGTTTTTTCTTGATAACAGAATAAAAAATTACAATATAGCTTAATAAATTTCCAAAGTCTAAGCAAATAGTCTCAATATGAATGTATAAGAGTTGCTACCATGTAAATAATAATACGAAAAATTATGTCTATGACTAGTGCATTCCTCACAGATCCCCATATCGGCAAGGCCAAATAAGATGTAACAGTTTCATGGAAATGGTTCGAGTCGGGATGATTTGCGCTTGACGTCATATAGGCTTCTGAATCTCGAGTGTTGGTTGCAAAAATCAAAATATTGGGACTCTTACAACTATGGAAGCTTGTGAACAAGCAAAAAGTGCCGAGATAGTTTATTAGTTGCGCATTTTGAATGTATTTCTATATTGTATGTAGCTTGTATTATTGTGTGAGGCTTCTTGTTTTCTCTTGAACTTGGTGTCTTCAAGGAAAATAAAGTTGTCCTTTTGTGTGATTGTGTACTAATTTCTCTCTAGTTTTTTTCAACCCTTGTTTTTAAGTTAAAAGATGATAAGGATGTGTCCTTTACCTTTTGATCAAAGTTTCCATTATACCTATAAGTGATGGACTCCAATTTCTGAGATCGTTTCATGTTGTAGATAGACTAATGGAGTATTTATTCCACATGCAGTGTCTGTTGCATATATTGCTGCAATTCAAATTTTGAGGTTACATTTTCTTTTTCTCTCAATTTCAGATTTATAACTAGAGATTTTAGCTTTCTACACTCTTTAAGAGAAAGGAGAATGGATTTTAGATGGGAGTTTTTTTAGTTTTGATATTTCATGGATTTGCAGATTTGGTAATGTTGTGGCCCATTGTTTGGTTAGATATGCTATAAATGTTTCAGCAAAATTTATCCTTCGATAACAAAATTTTTCAATCTTTCTCAATTCTCGGACAATATTAGTATTTATTAAAAAAAAAACCAAGTTGATTATAATCCGATTTCCATTAAAGCCATATTGGATGGCTGGCTATAAATTGATTGGGGACAGACTGAGCGAGTAGGTTTTGTCATCTGTGATGCCTCCATACAGTAACAGTTTTTGGAGTGTTGATCGTGTATGGTGTCAAAATTGAAATATTTGTATTGGATAATAACATAGCTTGTTCAGTATTTAATGTTAACAGGTCTTGTCAAAAATCAATGAATTTAATTGCCTATTGGAGTAGATATGGTATCCACCTATCATATTTGTTACTCAGATTGCTTCTAGTCTGATGAACCCAACATTATCAATGGGCACAAGGTTATGGTGATTGCCCATTTTCTCAATCTCCGGCCAACAAGGCACCTAACTATCAGTGTGTGTTGCCCCCGCGGAGGAGGGAGGGGAGAGGGGGGAAGGGGCAGTGGGAAAAACAGCACTTACCACTTGGAACAATCATTGTTCGTTTTGACCGCTCTAAACTACACACAAAAGCAAAGGGAGCACAACCTAACCACCACCAAATCCAGAGTGATATTAGGTGATTTATAATGTGAATTCATCTCGATTGACTACTAAAGAAAACACACTGACACTGCACAGAACCATAATATTAAAAAAGATTAGGGGGGGGGGAACAAATAGCAGTGGCTTTACAGGTACCGCGATTCAAACAGTAGCATAACTGTCCGAATCTACATTATCGATAGTGAGCCAATCATTTGACTCCTCTCCTTCAGAATCTTTCTCTTGGGAACTTGATTGGCCAGCCTTCTGCAAACCACCTTGAGCGTCACCGAGTTGAACCCATTCACCAGGTGAAGAAGCCTTATTACTCTGTGCAGGCCTGAAACTTGAGAGTTTCCCTGAAAAATCGTTATCATCATCTTCCAAATCACTAAATGAGACATCATCCTCACTTGCAGGCAGTTTCCGAGCATCTACCGATGTGCAAGTTTCAACATCTTCATCTTCTAACCACTGCTCAGTATTCCCATGGTCATCAATCTCTGTCTCCTGTAATGCATTGACAACCTCAGCTAAAACGTCCTTTTGCTGAGATGGGCACTCATCTTCTTGTGTGCTATAAATTATACCACCATCTGGAAACGTATTAACAGCCTCGGAGTTCTCAGAAGCTTTCATCACTGCGTTCTTCTTGTTTAGCAACTTCTGCAAAAGTGTCTCCCTTGCTTCAACAATCTACAAATACGTGAAACTTTCTCGAATAAGATGGGTTTATTCATACTGCTTTTTCTAATAGTCCTTTTAGTGGTGTGCACAAAATATAGCAGAAAGGTAAGCAAACAAAGAAAGTGTAACTTTGAAGGCATGTTTTTCTTCTTTTTTTTTCTTTAATTTTTCTTTTTATTTTGGGATAAGAATAACCTTGAATACATTTAGAAACACTCAATAGCTTCTAAGACATCAATCGATGTGATGCATCTTTTCATCCATGACTACATTACGCATAATTTCACCCTTTTATTGGTATAATTGGCACACCATTTCATCTAGCAGAAGAAAACAACTTCTTAGGGGTTCGTGCAAATGACTTTTTTTCATCACTTGTAAGCATTCCGGATGACAAGCAAGCGGCCATCATACAGGTTGTAAACTAAAGATTGAAATGTGCTAAAAAATGCGCACACAAAATTACTGATATGCATGTAACCCCCTATGAATTTTCCTGTGAGGTGTGATGTTAATATAATTTACCTAACTCAAGCAAAGAATAGACACACCAATATCCCCTAATTTATTGACTTCAACTACCTAGAAGAGTGACAAATTTTTCTGACATAAATTAAAGGTGCCATCTGAGATCTACAAAGTTTATCTGAGAGGGTTTTACATTGAAGTCTTTTACGGACCATGCATGGAAATATGTGATACGAATTTGAAGCCAAAAAGATTAGCGGTTTAACACCAATAAGTAGAAAATAGAGTTCCAAAAGCAAGCTAATGCAACAATTGCTGGGATGAAAAGTAAATGTAACAGCATAATCATCTAAAACAAATCTTACAGTGTATACACTCACAAAATTTAGTCAATTGTTCCCAATTCTTATCTTCTATAATTCTTCCAAGGGAAGATTGATAGAAGCACCAGTTTAAATCTAACGTCAAATCACATCATACAAGCTTATTAACATGGCACAAGAAAACTAAGTGCTAAGACAACCTTTAGAAGCCTGCATCAATTCCTCTCAACCATGGTTACCACAATTCACTAAATCTGTGACGACCCACAATCTAGGTACATCGATCCCAAACGGGGTGAGTTCGTAATCCAGATCACTAAAATGTACGATTCCAAATTGTAATACTAACCCTAAATCAATTCGCATTCGAATATATAGCACAAATATAAAATACATATTAATTGACTACATGTATATAGATTTATAATTTATAATTTAATATTATTTTAGATACTAGAAAATCAAGCACAAATATCAGATAAATGGTAACTGACTTAGTGTTTAACTGATGTTCTGTAACATATAATGTTGTATAGTAGTGAAAACAATCTAGATAAGAGTCCTAAAATGATTTGCGACCCAAAATAACTTACCAACTAAGTCTACTCCCATCGTACCACATATCTAAGAAAGTGTCGTATTGCGTACCCGTATCCATAGCACGTACCCAAGCAACACATGATCCAGATAACCTTGCTCTCAACTATGGCACTTCTGTTTCTTTTGATTCCTTGCATCTCAATGCATGTAATTTTCAGAATAAAGGTTTCAGTTGTTCACCCTACCCAATTAACAAATTTATATAGGTCTGCATAATGGAAATTTGTTTTGTCAAAAACTTTTATCTCCATTTTTGTCATGTCCTGAATTAGACAGCATCCCCAAAAATCAGGTAGAAGTGGTTTTTGACCTTTGTATCAACAACAAAAATCAGGTGTGGGTCAATATAGGTGTTATTGCTTGAAGCTATCATTGTACCACATCTATATTGTGAAACTATAAATTATCCATTGCAGTGCCAGGCAAGTGTAGTTCATAAATGTTTGCAATCCAACAAGTTGTACATTCTAAAATCAGTAAATAGCCACAGCGGGTTGCATTTAGGTTTCACAATGCATGCAGATCACAAAAAAAGAGTGATAAAGAGATCTATGAAACAGAGTCTTGCCTCTGGAGTTGCTAGGAGCTTAGAATCATTCTCATTCAACCTAGGAAGCAACAAAATAAAGTAGACCATCCAAAATTGTTCATCACTCAAGTCATTGCAAAGTTTATGCCTCAAAGCTGCAAGACTAGGCACCAAATGTTCGATAGTTGCAGCATGATCTCTCTGAACGTTGGACATACTAAAATCTGCAACAAAAAATGCCAAAATTCAGGCAACCAGTACAGCAATCAACGCCATACATCTCCACATTTTAATAACAACAAAAGAAAAAGAAGGGAAAGGGGAAAAAGAAAAGAGAATAAAAAACCTATGAGCAGCCTATCACCATGCAAAGAAGCGGCTTCCTTCTTTGCATTTGGGATGCCTACACAACTAAATGGGTTTTCAAATTTGGCTTTTCTCAGCCAACGTGCCAACTTGATCAGTGGAACAATTCCATCTTGGGTGTTTAAATTACCTGCATTACTTTATTTGGACCTCAATCAGAACGAACTCACTGGCCCCATTTACGAATTCCAGGAGGCCAATTCATTGGAGTTGATGGATTTGAGTTATAACAAGTTGCATGGTAATATTCCCAGTTCAATCTTCCAACTTAAGAACCTCACTTTTCTCGATCTCTCATCAAATAACTTGAGTGGCTCAATCTCTTGCTATGCACAATCTCTTGAAGTTCTCAACTTGGCTCGTAACAACCTAAGTGGTGGTATTACACAATGTTTGAGCAAGTTAAGCATGAATCTCCGGGTGTTGGATCTCCATCAGAACAACATTTATGGTGACATTCCTAACACATTTGCAAAGGACTGTAGCTTGAAAAGCATAAATTTAAATAGTAATTCCTTGCAAGGGCCAGTACCAAAATCTTTGGTCAAGTGTAGAGCGTTGCAACTTCTGGATCTCGGAAACAACATGATAAACGATACATTTCCTCACCAGTTAGAAAAGCTTCCATACATGCGTGTTCTTATCTTACGATCAAATCAATTTCATGGATCCATAACTGATTTCATGATTCCATTTCCCTTCCGCAATTTGCGAGTCTTTGATATTTCTTGCAATAATTTCATTGGGCATTTGCCAACAAAATATTTCAGAAACTTCAAAGCCATGATGGACATCAAGGACAACACGTTCATCGGACAATACATGATGATAACGACATGGAATTTATCTCTTGGTCCTCTTTTTTTATATTATGATTCCTCTACTGTAACAATGAAAGGATCAACAACTGAAATGTTGAAAATTCAAACCATGCTTAGGCTTATCGACTTATCGAAGAACAACTTTGAAGGGGAGATTCCGCAGTTGATTGGAAGGCTAAATTCAGTTCATGGCCTCAACTTATCTCATAACAAGCTCACAGGTCATATTCCGACACAACTTGGGGATATGAAAACACTTGAATGGTTAGACGTCTCTTCAAATAAGTTGGATGGACAGATTCCTCAGCAATTGACAATTTTGATGTTTCTACAAGTCCTCAACCTTTCGCACAACCAACTAACAGGGCCCATACCTCGAGGCAAACAATTCGATTCATTCATAGAGAACTCGTATGAGGGCAACTCTGGACTATGTGGATTGCCATTGCCGAAGTCATGTGGCCACTCTAGAGCACCACCACAATGGGTACTGCAACAAGATGATTCTTCAGAGTCTCCAAGTGGATTCGTGTGGAAAGTGACGTTCATGGGGTATGGATGTGGATTGGTACTTGGGCTTTCTATGGGATATATTATGTTCTCAACTGGAAGGCCTAAGTGGATTGGAAGGCTGGTTGAAAGTCAAGGAAACAAAAATGGGAGGAGGGCAAGGAAGCATGCTCATAGACACAAAGGTAGAAGAAACTAGCCAACACAAACTGCAGCGTCTGAGGTATGTGTTGCCAACATTTATTTGTTTTGACATATCATATACTTTTTTTTCCCCCATGAGACTCTAAAATTATCCTGGGTTCCAAAAAAATGAGGGAGAAATATATATTTTTTGGTTTCCTTGTTCTTTTTCTTTAACTAAATGAGTGAATCACAATTTTGAAATCAAAACCTTAAAAGAATTATTCAGCTGAAAAGGCAGAATATATTCATTCCATAATAATTAGTCCATTCTTAAATATTGGCTGTTTGTCATGCCATGTTCAATGTTTTTTCTCGATAACTGAATAATTTCATTTTGAAAAAAATAAATTACAATATAGCTTAACAATCTCAATATGAATGTATATGAGTTGTTACCATGTAAATAATTAATGTGAAAAGTTAAGTCTGTGACTAATGCATTCCTTGCAGCACCTCATATTGGCCAGGCCAGTTAAGAGGTAACAGTTTCATGGAAATGGTTCGAGTCGCGACGAGTTGCACTTGACATCATATAGGCTTCTAAATCTCCAGTGTTGGTTGCGAAAATAAAAAATGGGGACCCTTACTACTATGGAAGCTCGTGACCAACCGAAAAGTGTCCAAGGCAATTTACTTGCTGTGCATCTTTTCATGTATTCCTATACGGTATGTTACTTGTATTATTGTGTGAAGCTTCTTGGTTTCTTGAAGGAAAATAAAGTTGTCATTTTGTGCGGTTGTGTACTGATTTCTTTATATTTTTTTTCAACACTTTCTTTTGAATTACAAGATGATAAGGATGTGGCCTTTACCTTTTGATTATGTTTCCATTATACAGGGGTGTTTGGTATGGTGGATAAACCCGGATTACACCATTTGGATTGGATAAAAATAAGGTGAAACCCATTTATCCTTGATTTGGCAAGGAAATTTAAGGTTTGACAATCGTTGCCTTTGAAAAACTCGGCCGTAGTATTTGAGCTCCTTTATCCCTTCTCAAGGGATACACAAATCCCACCAAAACTTGGGGCTTATGCAAATGCTGACCGGATTGTGGGAAGATTTTACCATTACATCCCTAAAATCATCCCCCAGAACGGCTCAGACTCCTCCATTGGCAAGGGCAAAGGTATGTTTCCTCTCTCTCTGTATCTCTCGCCCCCTCTTTCTCCTAAACTCAGCCATGGCGATCTATCTGCCCTCACCGTTGACGATTCTATCATCGCTCACCCAAATATCTACCTAAACTCAGCCATGGAGGTCCACGGTATTGGCGCCATTCTTGATTACACTGTCAATGGTGGTGACTTCTTCGCACCACTGGTGGTTCTGCCATTTTATCCGATCGGGAAAATCATAGGTGGCCGGAGGTCTAACGCAGCATGCATGTGCACTGAGTTTCTGATGGTTTTCTAGATTATTTGTGCTGTTTTTGCATTCAAGATTCTTAGAAACCCTCTTACTCGTTGATGGGTTTGTTCACAAATCAATGATTGTGGCTGTTTTTGTTCTGCGAAGGTAGTCTAAGCACCATTAGGTGAGAGGAAAGATGAGTATGGGGTTTTTTTGTTGTTGGGTTGGGTCATTGTTAACAGTACCAGCTATTCTTCTTGAATGTGGGGCTATTTTGTTCTTATTTTCTGCATTAGTCTGCAATATTTTAGCAAAAAATTTCTATGGTCTGTAAAATCCTCTATTTTATCGATATATCTGAATTAGTTTCTTCTCGTATTCATGTTTCAGTGAAGTTTATTTGTATGTAATGACAAAGAAAGAAAATGCTAAACGGATCAATTTTGATCTCAATAAAATGGATATTTATTCTCAGTTCTATTCCACCGCTGATGGCTCTTATGATGACTATAGTTTTGCTTGTGCCTCTGATTTTGAGATTGGTGAATCTAGGAAGGTTTCATCGGTGGCCGATTGTTCGGTGGATGTCGAAAATGAGGTGGGTGAAATCAAAGTGCAATTGCGGAAATCAGAGAGTGATTGTCGAATCTGTCATCTGAGTTTGGAGAGTACTGGTCCTGAGTCTGAGATTGCCATTGAATTGTGTTGTTCTTGTAAGGATGACTTATCAGCAACTCATACGCATTATGCTGATACTTGGTTCAAGATTAAGGGAAACAAGTGAGTAAAACAAAATCCCAATTTTTTAGTGTTTTGCGGTAAATTTTAGATACCCATTTGGTAACTCCCAGCATTATGCAAATCTTCACATCATGTGATTCAGTATAATTGCTCAGTCCATGGTCTATTTGTGTGTTCTCATTATCACTACAACTACATATAGACACAACACACACACACACACACACACACACACACACCCCTGTATGTTCTCATTAACACATAGTTGCATGTTATTAATTGTAGGAAGATGTTTTTGCTTCACAATACTGTCTTGCACCATGCCCGGCTTTTGAATTTTGAAACACAATAGTGTGTGTACATGTAGCTTCAATGTAATATGTTCCATGTATGGTTGCCTTCGTTTTGTACGTATACTTCAAGGCAACTTGTGATTTGATTATATTGATACGTGTATTTATGTAATGTAAAATATGTTTATGTAACATAAAATCGTTTATTTCGTTGTTCTTAATTTTTTTTTCAAAACAATGTGGAACAATGTTATGAGGAAATTAATGTGCTCGCACTTGTGTACTTTTGGAAAAATGAAAATCGAATTATTTTTGGTATTTCCTCTTGGTGACACGGCTGTTACATTTTTTATGAAATATAAAAGTGAATAACATGAATAAAATTTTATAGCCAACATTGACTTTGGCTTGGATAGAATTAAAGGGTAAAATTGTAAATTCATATGAAAGTAGAGAGATTTGACACAAAAAAAAATAATCCCATAATATAAGAAAATTTTTTCCAAATTAGGGACATGATTACACCACTTCATTGATATCCTAGTTATTGGGTTTTCATCGGTTTGAATCCAAACCAATCCTATCCCTCAAAGCTTTGCCAAACACCCCCATAAGTGATTGACTCCAACTTCTGAGATCATTTCATTTTGCACCTAGACTAATTATTTATTCCACATGCGTTATGGTGTGGGTTGCATGTATTGCTGCAGTTGCACATATCAGTTCGAATTATAGACTTGCTAGGTTGAGAATTAGCATGCAAGACCTTTGGGCATGTCTCGGGCTTTTGTGCTCGATTATATCTCTTGTACACACTTTTTCCCCTAATTCTCAATTTATATTTAAAAAAAAAAAAGGAACCGGTTCAGTATTTAATGTTAACAGGTCAAGTCAAAAATCAATGAATTTAATAGCATGTTGGAGTAGATATGGCATTCACCTATCATCTTTGATACTCAGATTGCTCCTAGTCTGATAAGCCCAACGTTATCGATGGGCACAACGTGATGGTTATTCCCCAGGGGAGGGGGGGGAAGGAATGGGAAAAAACAGCAATTACTAATTGGAACAATCAACGTTCGTTGTAAGATTGGAAAAGTTTCTCGTTCTCTTGTGTGTGTGTGTGTGTGTGTGTTTTGGGCCAAAGATAATGTGAACTCATCTTAATGATCAAGAAGTTGTTCTATTTCTCGCCCTGTAATACTTATATCACAATGTAATTAACTTAGCGCAGTACCATCACCCCCATGAAACCTATGAGAGCAAATCTAATAAAAAATGGATGACATTTCTCTTTCCCAATTGTAAGAAGTAGATGAAGTCATAAGGGAAGAATCAAGAAGGTGCCAAGAAGAACACTTTGAATGCAGTAAAGAAGCCAAGGGAAAAAGGCTCATTTCTTGTGACTCACTTAATGCAAACCTTTCTCCAACCAGTCCAAACTTTTACCTAATTTATTCTCTTTCCTCAAACCACTCCCACCTTTTCATCTTTATTATCCAGTCCATCTCTTCAAAGCAACCACCAACTAAGTACTGTGAGACCTTCTCTGCTATGAATCATATGATTCACACACCAAAGGCAATGTAACTTTTCAGGTCTTGACCATATTCTTGTATTTTGAAGGCTTAACTTTTACAAAGTCAAGAGTTCAAGTCCATTGAGCAACAAAAAACGTGATTAGTTAGTAGGGTGGACCTTAGTTGTTTGGACGAACTGTATCCAAGTTTCTACTGTGGGTTTGAATTTCTACCGAAGCACAAGTCCTAATTTAACTGGTATATAAGTTGAGGGACATGTTCATACACACGGGGTTTGCCATTGGTTCTACTCAGACTCACGCGCCTGAGAGACTAAGTCACCACTATCTCGCTAAGGACAGACCAGAGATCTCCCCCGTTAATTTGACAATGACATAGTCCAATAGTATTGGTGACTAGAACGGTTAGACTTCTTCATTATGACTTTATTATTTATCACATCATTATGTCAATAAATTAGATCAATTTTTTAGATTCCAATAAAATTACTCGGAATAAAATCAAACTTTTGAATTCGAGAATTCTTGGCACATAAAATGATGTTTAACCTGTACAAATGGTTTGCGGGTGAATGCGTGCATCCGAGACTTGAGTTGCAACCATAAACCTAAAAAACACATGGTATGTAGACTTTCATTGTAACCATACCCTTCAGTTCTTGTAATATGAGCTATTTTACCAACAAACTTAAACAAACTGATACAGGGCACATCATTTTTATTGTCAGGCTGCTATTATTTTAGCAAGTAGAGATGCAAGTGTAGTTTGTCGATGGAAGAGTGCACCAAGAAACATGCACAATCCACAGAGATCATAATAACTTCCAAAAAGATCAAAAGAAAGAGTCCAGACCTTTTTATGGACCAGCAAAGCAGAGAGCAACACTGTCCTCATTCACAGACACAGTAAGAGCTTGTTCCACACCATGTGCAGAACCAACAGTGGGCTACAGAATAACAAATCTAAAGATGAAAATAAATGAAGTCAAAGTTTTCAAATGTTGGCTCCATAAGGTTACAACAGGGATAAAGTTGCATATGTCTAACTCTCATAAGGTTACAAAATATTAAAAAAATAAAGACAGTCTAGCGCGCGAGACTCCTTTCGTTATAGGGTCTTAGGAGAGTTAGACATATGCAACTTTATCCCTGCACAAATGTGAGCACATCAAATTCTTGATATCGCCAATTACTCTCTTCTATTCTAACACGTAGCCCATTTTAGTGTACAATCCCCACCTCAAAAAAAAAAAACCCAAAAAAACCAAAACCAATTTCTCATTTTTGAAGAGCTTCATTCCCCAAAAGCGAGCCGCGAAGTAACACTTACACTTGGACAGGTGAGCACTTTCCATTGCTCTACATAGGATCTCTAATATGAAAGTAAGATGCAGGGAATTGTAAATTTTAAATGTCATTGTTTTCTAGCACTTATGGAAGGTACTTATCTATCAATTGATAGTCTACACAGCTATTAAAGTCTCAGCATTTTAAATGCAAAGTGAAGCCCCCACAAAGAATGATGGGTTGGCTCCCTATCACAAAATAAAACAAGACAATTTAGTTAAGCATCACCTGAGAAAAATTCTACAATAAAAAACGGAGGTCAAATGAGAAGAATCATGAAGATACCAAAAAGGTCTTAATAAGCCAAGTAAAAAGGGCTCCTTTCTCCTCAACTGCTCAATGCAAACCTCTCTCCAACCACTCCCAACTTCACTAATTTATTCCCTAATTCCCCAACCACTCCACTTTTTCATTTATATTCCCTCTTTCTGAAGTAAACACCAAGGCACTAACAGTATCTAGCATGTTGAATAGAGGAAGCAATAGAAACACCAAACCTTGTAATTGATTTTAGCTTTTGCTTTGATTCATAATCCATTACTTTTGCCAAAACGTGGAAGGTTGGTCAGATAGACTATTAGTATTTTATAATTAAATCATACTCAAGACTCCAAAAATGTCCTTCAACCAAGTCTTCATGAGCCAAGACCATCCCTAATTAAATTAAGTATTATTTATTTACAAAGTATCAGAAGCCCTTTCATGCACGTAAGTCCCAAAAAAAAAAAAAACTCGACTGCAAAGGTGAGTCAAGTTGGTGTAAATAATAGATATAGACCATTGAAGTTTGTGAACCAAAAGCTAGCAACAGGTCAAGATGCCAAAAGGGAGAAGTTATTTGCTCTTTGTGAGAAGATAGTATAATAAAGGACCAGAGTAGCCTAGTAATACAACTCTGCCTTAAACTATATGACTGGATTTGAGTCGAAACTTCAATATCCAGCTTCACTCTTATTTGATGTGTAAGATACCTAATATCTAGCAAACTTTCAGGTTCCACAAATATATAGCCAAAATATATATGAATAAGCTAAATATAAAGCAGCACTGCCATCACCTGTAACAAGAATTCCCTTCGTTCCATCTGGAATACAGACATAATGCATTTCTTGACTTGTCAATTGATTGTCGATGCTAATAAAACGAAAAAAAAAAAAAAAACAAGGCGAAAACAAGGCAAATCATATTAGAAAAAATCGCAAATGACAATAAATGAAGTGAAATTTTGAGTGTCCTTAATGCTTGATTTGGCAATTTAAACAATGGGAAATTTGTAGAAAGTACAGGCTTTCTAGGAAGAAAAGGGCAACTGTCAAACACATAACATGAGGATTCACCAAATCAGAAATAACAAAGAGTTGAGGTAACATGGAAAGAATCAAGAACATGCAAAGCTATAAAGTTTCTTTTGGATTTTAATAAGACAAGTGCTAATTTCTTGGGGACCACCCAATCCAAACATCTACCAGCCACTGCAACCTTTACTAATTTATTCCACCTCTCTAACAACTCCACCTTTCACTACTTATCAATAATTCTCTCTTACCCCTCTGAAGGTACAACCAACTAAAGTCCATTGCAACTTTTTATTTTTTTGCCCCACAAGATTCACACACATAGAAGCTTTAAATTCTTAGAGCTCTGCATGACTATCAGACTTTTAGAGTTTGGACCAAGCCATACTATATGTCACTCTACCCTCAAATCTTGGGCACCTTTGTGCAGGTTCACTTATTGAATAAGGATTTATTTGGCTTTACTAAAAGTAGAAGTGTGCACACAGTTCCCATGATATCTCATCCTCATTACAGGAGAGAGAAAGAGATACCTCCGAAAGTTGATGTAGAAAGACACAGGAAAACGGGGAATGGATAGAGAAGAGATTAGAAGAGAGAATCAACTGCTTTTTTGCTGTCATATCAAGCTTTAATTTTGTTCCAAAGTAACATTTGTCTTGTTCTTCTTTGCAGAGACCAAGGTGGACTATTGTAAAGTGAAGCTCAAAGAGAAAGAGCTGAAGTGTGGAGTTTGCCATGTGAAGATACTTACTACAGAAGGGGTAAAGGGTAATTAGATAACAACTAAATCCATTCTATATATTCTTAGACAATAACGAAGGAAGTATACGAGTTTGAATGCAGTACCCAGAAGGTTGACAACTATACCATTTTTCTGTTTCTTTCCCTAGCATATACTACTTTACCAAGATAATATTTTATTACATTTAGTTCTTCCATAAGTAATGTGAGGATGATTCAAGTTAGAGTTATCTTACCTGTAATATGCTAAACTTAATTCTGAAGCCTAAGAAAGCATTATAGCAGCATTAAAGGCTTTGATTACTTCCGAAATTTACCTTTACTATGGTCAGTTTTCACATGTAGGAGCACAAAATTTTGAACTACCAATGAATCTTCCATTTCATGCTTCAAAATTCTACAAATATCAGTAAGAAGGCTCAGAACTGCAAAGAAGAACTTTTACACACACGCAAACTAAATAATTTAAGTTAGCACCATTTTTTTCTTTCTTTGGTCCATGAGAGATTCGAATTATTTGTATCAAAGGAAGATGTAGTATGAAGAACAGAAAAAGCTTACAGGAAAATAAGCCGAAAAGGCCAGTGACTCTAGCTGAAACGACATGACATCAAGTTGCCCATATGCTTTGGTTCTCATGTGGAGATCCTGTACAAATGCAAGTGAATTGGGCGGGTATGAAATGTAAATTAAACATAGCAGGAAGTTATGTTCAATAATGTATACAAAGGGTATACCTAAAGCTTGTCTAGATAGCATCTTACAAATTCTCATGAAAATAGTAGAGGGAAATAATCACTGGCAATTATTGCTTGAGGATACCTCTGAATGGGCTGTTGAATCAAACAATTACAAAAGTTAGAAAGAACATTTAACCTATGGTTCTAGCCCTGAATTGCAAGCAAAAATGCCAGCATTCATAGGCAGCAGCAACATAACTTGTTGGGGCATGTATCAGAGGAATATGTCTTCATATTCGGCACATTCTAATTCTTTCTTCCCATTCTTAGCTACAAAACAAATGTTGACTGGTTTTTCTATAGTTTCACAAGAAGCATGCACTCTAGGTTTGTATATCGTAACTAGTTGCTCGTATTTGCTTTGTCAGTCTTCCATGTGTCATTAGGAATTTGGCCCAAAGAGGGTTGTGCTTATGAGGTAAAAAAAAATTTACTTTGTTTTCTGCTGTATGTGATGGTTCAACTATAATGTTACGATGTTTTATGTAGTTGTAACCAAGTGCATCTATGATGCTGCCATGCATCCTGCTTGCAAAAAGAGAAAAAGAACTTGCACCCACAATACTGAAGGAACCAGACATATATGAGATGTGACATTTTACAAAGAACCAGAAAAATAAAATTGTTAATATTCTGTCAAGTCTGAAGTTCAAATGACATTATATGGTTCAGAAAATTTCGTCTAATCATCATCATGTCTATATATAAATGCAAACCTTTAATCATCATCAAGCATCTTCTACTCTCACTTGTAGACATCACCTCAACATCCCGACCTTCCCTCCTCTTTCAAGCCACTGGAAACTTACCGTTTTGCATATATTTTTCTTATAATAGGAAACTCCTTCCTGCCAACACTTTGACTTCATCTATGTACCATACAACCTCGCTTCAAAAGATGAAATTCTAATAGCTAAGGAATGGACCCTTGAAGTCACATCTAAAGCCACCAATAATCTACCTTCTTAAGAAGGATGTACAAAAGATCCACCTCTTGTACACAAAACCTCATTGAAATCCACACCATTCGATGAGATCCAGTATTGTATTCACAAACTAATCCCCGGACCAGATTGCCAAAGTTATGCTAACAAAATATGAAACAAATCTTATACCATCTCTCAAGTATGATTCATATAAAGAAGTAACATACGGATAAAAAACTATACATGTAGATAGAAAAAAAAAATATATTGCCTCATTAATGCATCATTGAGCCTATTTCATCCATGATTACATTGAGGCTAACTAATTCTTTGTATATGTCCTCTGTTCGGGGATGAGACTTGTCACTGCAAAAAAACTGACAGATCTGACCATTCATCTCAATCCAACTACATGCCAACTCTTTCTTCAATTGAAGTTGCTTCAATACTGCTCTAATATGTGCTGCTTCCTTCCACAAACCTCTCGAAGCATATATATTTGATAGGAGTACATACATCCCAACATTACAAGGTTGAACACTTAGAAGTTTTAGTGCTACAAATTCACCTAGCTCAAAATTTTCATGGACTCTACAAGAACTAAGTAATGATTCCCAAGCATGTGCTGGGAGATCCACTGGTAATTGTTTAACTAACTCAAAGGCTTCAGCCAGCAATCCTGATCTACCAAGTAGATCAACTATGCAGGCATAATGCTCTGGTTTTGGTGTCAAATTCCAGTTCATCTTCATAGAGTTGAAGTGTTTCCAGCTCTCATCGACTAGTCCTGAATGAGCACAGGCAGTCAAGAGTCCCAGAAAAGTTACATGGTCAGGTTCTAATCCACCTCGAATCATAGAAGAGAAGAGATTGAGGGTGTCTACAGCAGAACCATGGTATGCCTGTGCCACAATCATGGCATTCCAAGCAACTATATCACGATCAGTTATCCTTTCAAATGCAGCAGCAGCATATTTCAAGAAGCCACATCTAGAATACATAGATACTAATGAACTCATTACCATTGTATCATTTTCATAACCAATCTTAATGACATGGAGATGCACTGCTCTTCCCCAACCATGTACAGAAAGCACACCACATACCGAGATTACACTAGTAAAGGTCCCTTGATCAGGCTTAAATCCACTTTGCCACATGTGGACATATAAAACTAAAGCTTTCTCGCTTTGATATCCAACAATCATTATGTTCCATGAGGTTTCATCTTTTTGGGGCATTGCTTCAAAAAATTTGCAAGCATTAATCATATCATCTTGTTGCACATATCCCTGCAATACTGAATTCCATGACACTGTATCCCTCCTTGGCATCTGCATGAACAATTCAAGAGCATCTTCAACCCTTCCATTCTGAATACAACCATCAATCATTGAGTTCCATGCAACAATGTCTTTATGAGGCATCTCATTAAATAATTCCCTAGCATCTGCAATACGACCATTCTGCAAATAAGCCCGCATCATTGTTGTCCAAGCCACCACATCCTTTTCCGGCATCTCCTGAAACAAGCTCCTAGCTCTCTCCACCTGCCCTCCATTTGAAAAACACTTTATCATACTAGTCCAAGAAGCCACATCACGTTGAGGCATTATAACAAATAACTCGTAAGAATCCTCAACATATCCCATTTCAGCATAACCGGCCAACATAGCATTATAAACCAAGACACTTTTTTTTGAAGCACGATCAAACAACTTCTTGGCTTCACTTACAAGGCCATATCTAAAATACCCTTCAATTATAGTCACCCATGACACAGAATTCTTAACAGGCATTGCCTCAAACAATTTTCTAGCCTCTCTAATTTCTCCATTTCTTACATACCCAGATATCATTGAATTCCAACAAACAACATTCTTGCTATCTATCTTCTCAAACAAAACTCGCGCCTCTTCCAACATTCCACATTTTGCGTACCCACTTAACATAGCAGTCCAAGAAACAATATTTCTACCGGGCACAGCATCAAATACCTTGCGTGCCTCACGAATCATCCCATTCCTAACGTACCCAGATATCATACAATTCCAAGTCACCACATTCTTCTGGGGAGTTTCATCGAACACACGGCGTGCAGTTTCTATATCCCCCAGTTTGGAACATCTTGTGATTCTTGAGTTGCAAACATATAATGGGTTTGTATTCGAACACAAATTACGACAAACAGGAAAATTTCTAACGTCGACAAAACCAGTAAATGACTTCAATTTGTGCCGTACATGCATTAACCCAATGCTCAGCTTGGTTGCTGAGATAATGAAGAGGAAAATAAAATAAATGCTCAGTTTTCCCAAGAAACAACCGGAGGGTTTGATGCTTTTTTAAATAATTCAGTGTCCGTTAACCTATGCGGGACGGTCTCTTTGCTGGGTTTATAATGAGTATGTAATGCTCCTAAACACTCGAGTGAAATAATTTTATGTACATGAGGTTATTGAAATTAGGGTGGTAATTTGTATAGTATCGTTCGCGTGTTGGAATTTTGTGTAATATTCGTGTCAAAATCTATGAATAAAAATTTATTTAATATGTTCCAAATATCAAACATTAATTTAAACTATTTATTATGTGTACTTAATAATCGTGACAATTATAGAATCGTATTGTATTGAATTTGTGTTAACGGATCAGAATTGACGCCTTAATTTGAAACCCGCGTGAGAGGTGTTATTCAAATGGGTGAATTAGAATTAGCATTAAAATTATTAATTTAATTTTATATGACATCATGAGACCTACATGTTTTTTCTACTCTTGTTCAACCAATTCTCAAACATGCCATAGAGTAAAAATATATCACATTCCTATCCAAACTTATCCCGAAAGGGAAAGTTTATTGTACTGTCTTCGGTATCATACCACTATTTATTATTTTTATGGTAAAATTAAAACTCAAAAAGGAGAATATACAACTATTTAGGAGAAGTTTATGATCAATCAAAGGGACCACGATCGATCACAGATACATATAAACGGTCATAAACTTCACCTGAGAAATTGTAACTTCTCCCTTATGAGTTGTAAGTTGACCTTTAAAAGTTGTAACTTCGTTATCAATCTCAATCTATCGTGACCTTTAAAAGTTATACTTTACACCTCAAAAAAGTTGTAACTTAACTTTAAATTGTTGTAAATTTCGGTACGAAACCTCATTTAATACCGTGGCCTTTCCCATCTTAAACACCCAATTGCAGGAATTTCGATTGGACAACATCTTTTATTTTTTACTAATAAAAACGTGACAAATATAAATTTCTCTTATTTCAATATTTTATTTATTTTCTTAATCAATGGCTAAAAATTGAATCAAGCGAAGATTTGAAGAACTATAACCACAATTTTTTTTTTCAGTATTATATCTAAAAAGCATTTTTTTTAAAAATATAGTACCACCAAAAAAAAAAAAAAAACAAAGAAACATTCCGGTAGCATAGTCTAATTCTTTGAGGAAGGGATCTAATTTCACTTGACATTTGCTTTGAGCCTTAGCCGGCCTATTCAAAATTATTTCCGACTCCAACCACAATAATTCATTCTACTTCATTATGAACACGTATGTTACCAATCTATTATAACTTATCATTTAATTAAGAGGTGTCAACTCTAACTCATTGATACGAACTCGACATAAATTTGACACACACAATTATTAAATACACATAATAAATAATCTAAACTAATGTTTAATACTCAGAACATACTAAATAGAATTTGTTTCGCAAATCTTGACATGAACACGACACGAATAATAATGTCCAACACGAAAATACATTACGCACAAGAGTCACACGAACACGACACGACACGATTAAGCGCTTACTCTAATATGATAGTTACCATTGGTAGTGGTCAACAATTATTAGAATAGTGGAGTTCAATAGACCTATATAGTAAGTCATAATTGATTAGTGATATCATATGTTAATGAGATAGTATCATTATATTGAGTTTTTTTTTTTTGAACCATTATAATTTAAAAAAAAAATAGTTTGAGAGGTATATTTTCGTTAGATTGCATAAAATATAGGACTATTATGATATATTTGGTAAAAATGATGAAAAATAGAAGAGATTAAAAATAGAAAAGATTGAGCTTTCCATTCTCAGAGGAAAGAAAGATGTTTTCTCTCTTTTTTGTCTTGTAAGAAGGATGAAAAAGTAAAATAGAAAATTTTTTATTATTTTATTTAGAATAAAAAATAAAATAAATAATATGTTAAATACCATAAATACTCTATTAAATGTGAACCCCACATTATTTTCTTTGTTAGATGAAAGAAGTAAAAAAATGTGAATCCCACGTGTTTTCTATTTATCCTAAAGGGTAAGCCAACATCCATTTGGAAGGCATAAAAGTAATTCAACAAATGTGATCATTATGTCCACCTTCTCTCTCCACTTTTTCGCCCATATTTGGGCGGATTGAATTTGGTGGGCATGAGGTATAGGCTTTCCTCCTCTTTTCTTTTCTCTCTCTTTTTACTTTTTCAACCAAACAAAAGAAAATATCAATTTCCTTCTTATTTTTCATCTACCCTTTTTCTATCCATCCATTTTCCTTCATACCAAAAGACTATTAATATTATTACCATAATTTCAGGGGTGGCTTCCATTGGAACCAACAATTGGTATAAGCCTCACTCTTCTTTCAACGATCACTTGTTCAAATTTATTTGCAATAGTAGTTGCATGAACCAACTGTTATTGAGAAGGAGTTGAATATTCACTCGCACCTCGGTGGGACTGTCATGATAGGCTCCACCCTTATTAGGTCAATAGCTATGATTTAAACTAAATATTTTACGATGAATGAAAACCTCTTTGGTTACGCCTAAAAAGTTTGCTACTCTGGTTGTCCTTTCCTGCCTTTTTTGGAAGCAAAAAAAAAAAATAGCAAGAGAAGCATATAGTCTTGTGTTTTTTACTTCGATTGTGAGGAATTACTAGGAACACTCCCGACAGTCTCAAAGTTTGTTATCTCTTACCTTTTACGTCTTTAGCAACATTTCCAAACTCAAGGGTGTTCTAATGGGCCTTTGGTCCAATAATACTCCTTACCTTGTGAAGACTTTGCCTTCTTGAAATCAAGGGTTCAAGTCCCTCTACCAAAAAAAAAAATATATAATTTCCACAAACACCAAACCAAAAACATAGAAACAAAAGACCATGACCTGTTAAAAGCATCTGTTTAACGACTTCTATTTTCTTTGGCAGATGATGTTCGAACCCGTGACCTAAAGGTCTAACGGTGAAAACAATCTCTGTTTAATGACTACAAACAACAAAAAATAATCCAAATTTGTCCTACATTACACAAAACATAATTGAACCCCAATAGATAGTTCACTGATATCAGAGACAAACTGTAAACTCAGATATTCTGAATTCGAAACTTTACAACCCCTTAAGCCTAGGCCATGATGAATTTATCCTCATGAATATCCTAATTTTGACATTGATGACCAACTTTTGACCAGACCGAAAAGAAGATTAGTCGAAGTGCGCGTAAACTGACCACTGACCATTGAACCCAAAAAAAAAAAAAAGCATAATTGCTTGGCCTGATTTTCTTATACAAAATGCAGTCTGGGTGATGATTACATTAGCAAATATGTAATGGGTGTATCGACATATGCAAAGGAAATTAGTCAGATGCTCTAAGAGATCCAAATTCCGAAAAGTATAATATCATTAAATTGAAATGCACTGTCTAGCCACAACATTTTCTTTTAATACCTGAAAGAATATCAGTTAACTACAACTGTTTCTTTCCACCAAGGATTGTAACCAAATCAACATACTGCTACAAATTACAAACAGAACCCTATAACTAGACAATGACACCCCCCCCCCCCCCCAAAAAAAAAAAAAAAACACCAACCAAATGGGCGGCGGCGGGAGTTTGTGGTGATGAAGAAAAAAAGCAGAACTACACTTACAAACCAGGTAAGTTGAGGTGGGTGTTGTGAGCAAAGGGCTTGATTTCACTGGAACTTTGATTGAGGCTTGCTGGCATATGAACTGACTGTTCAAAGCATGCATACATTTAAAAATATTGGTCTACAGTTACAAAGCTGCTGCCATGAGATACCAAAACACAGTTGTTCAAAGACTATAGTCCAAACTTGTCTACTTCTAACTGTAACATCACTCTCGATTGATATCCTATTGCTCTGACTCATTGGTGCAGTAATAACAACAACAATTCTGACCCTGCTGATTTCTAGAGAACAAGAACAAGAGAACATGCGACCTACTATGAATTCTGTCTTGTTATCTAACAAAGTAAGCGAATCTATAGGCATATAACGTTATAAACTAATATTCCAAAAATAAAAAGACAAGAAGCTATTGAAAAAGATGTGTCTATAAAGGATCCAAGCCATCACAGTTTGCTTATCAAGACATCATGGCAGAAGAAGTGAAGGTTTTCAGGACATGGTCAAGTCCATTTGCCCTGAGGATTGTTTGGGCACTGAAACTTAAGGGCATAGAATTTGAGACCATATTTTAGGATCTTGACAACAAGGGCCCTCTCCTCCACCAATACAATCCTGTTCACAAACAAGTTCCAGTGCTTGTGCACAATGGAAAGCCAATCTCATAATCATTTTTAATTCTAGAGTATATTGAAGAAACATAGAAGCAAAATCCCTTACTACCTGAAGATCCCTATGAGAAAGCTACAGCACGTTTCTGGGCAAAATTCAACGATGAAAATTTAAACAAACACAGTTCTCATACAGATATAGGTTGACTTGCCCTGAACAAGAAATAACAATCAAGGCTTTGATATATTTGCTTAAGTTCAATTTCATAATTAACATCTCTCATGTTGATGAGTACACTTCAATGAGGGAGGGTGGACCAGATATCAACCTAATTTTACAATTTCAAATGAATTGGTATCCTCAAATTTAAACCCACAACATTACGGTTGTTGATCTGACACTTTTACTACTGCACTAGGCAACCTATTTCATTACAACTTAGTTCATTACATAAACTTCTTGCATATAAACAAAAAGATTGTCGAGTACACAAAACTAATGCCTATAGCAGCTGGGAGAGAGGGTTGTAGGTTGTCTAACACCGGCCGACTTTCGGACTTGAACCCACAAAGACTCATATGGGCAGATTAGTACTTACCATCTTTCCAGATCCGACCTCTAGGGGTTGAAATCTTTGAAATCATACTCTATGATTGACATTTCTAACGAGCTCACAAAGTTACCTATGTTTTTCTCTTGAATGCAACTTTTGCCTTCAGTATGGCAGACTTTCATTAAACAAGGAACAAAGCAAGAAGAGGCAATTGATCCGGCTATGGAGAACCTGAAATTGGTAGAAGAGCAGCTGAAGGGGAAGATTTTCTTTGGTGGAGAGAAAATTGATTTTCTGGATCTAGCATTTGGTTGGATAGCTAATTTCATTAGTGTCCTACAAGAGGTAACTGGTCAAAAGGTGATTGACTCGGAGAAATTTCCATTTTTATCAGCATGGATGGAGAAGTTTTCAGATGATCCAGTAATCAATGAATGCGGGCAACCTCGAGATAGGTTAAGTACTAAGTTCAAAGCAATGCGTGAGGCATACCTCGCAGCGGCTACACCTAAATGATCCACTTCCTCAAGCTATTTCAAAACCTTGAAGTAGGGCTATCAATGGATCGTGTCGTGTTTTTTTCCCCGATCTCAAGTTTCCAATTAAATCTGTGTTCTTTTGGTGTTTGTGTTTTTGAGTCTAAGTTTTCTCGTTCTCTTGTTATCGCCTATTGGATGGAATTTAATTCCTAGCAGAGGGCTCGTAGAATTCTTTGAACAAAGATCCAATGATAAACCTCCCCACTAAAGATGATGTGCTTCAGTGTGTGCACATGAGGCAGGTTAAGTACCAAGTTCAAAGCAATGCGTGAGGCATACCTCGCGGCGGTTGCACCTAAATGATCCACTTCCTCAAGCTATTTCAAAACCTTGAAGTAGGGCTATCAATGGATCATGTCATGTTTTTTTCCCGATCGCAAGTTTCCAGTTAAATCTGTGTTCTTGTGGTGTTTGTGTTTTTGAGTCTTAGTTTTCTCGTTCTCTTGTTATCGCCTATTGGATGGAATTTAATTCCTAGCAGAGGGCTCGTAGAATTCTTTGAACAAAGATCCAATGATAAACCTCCCCACTAAAGATGATATGCTTCAGCGTGTGCACTTTCCTTGAAGGACTTTACTTGAAATTATGTAGTAGAGGGTCCTATCTTTGGTGTTTTCAAAGAATAACTGGCACGACTGATAATCTCATTATCCAACAAGTTTGAGTGAGCACCACGGGTTCTATTTTCCCCGATTGATTCATATCGAACAATGCACATTCTGTTTATTTGCATTTTCTGATCTCCATTAGTGCCATTTTATTTGCATTTTTCAAAAATAAAAACTAAATGTTATTACATACAGCATAGAAAAGCATAACATTTTGGTATGGTAAGACAAGTTTAAGCATCAACATTGTTCATGGCTAAAGTCCTAGTAGACTCCAGATACATTGATAAGGCATGTTTTGAACAAGATCAAAATTCATCTCGGTGTATTGTTTTGGTCACCTAGGAAATAGAAACGTTTCGAAAACATAATGAAAACGAATAAAAATATTGAGAATTTATATCCAAAATATTTTGAAACATTGATTGAAATAGATCAAAACGTCTCAAAACATTCCGAAACAATTATGGAAACATGCTGAAACATCTCAAAACATTCTGAAAAACATTGGAGCTTCAATTCCATAACTAATTCATTTTGATCTCCTGGAAAATGGAAACATTTCGGACGTTTTAAAACAAAATTTTGATCCTTGGTTCTGAACAAAGCAAGCTGAATATAACAAATCATACTGCAATTTGGATGTGATCATACACATAGTTAGGTACCATTAATTTGCTTCATTCCTAAAGCAGGAAACAGACTGCAATAGTAACAACATAAACCAAACCCTATCTCACCTTTTCACAGGACAAAAATGAAAGAGACGAATGCAGCAAAAAATTGTAGAACTATAGTTGAGAGCATCTGTTATATTTATCCGTAAGATGAATATGCATCACTGCCTTAATGCTACACTATGCAAAAGATCAAAAGAATTCTCATTTTTACCTAATGGGTTATGCGACAAAAGAATTGTTGCCTGCAAAACATTGACAGAGAAGAGTACAATTTATCTATTGCACCCCATTCCTTAGTCCACCTCTTTTATTTTACTCCAAACTAATTTTAAAAGCTTTACAAGAGGAAGAAAAATAAATATCAAACAGCAAAACAGTAACAGGACAAATGACACAACGACACAATATTGGTTGCCAGGCAGAACTTTTCCAGAAAAGGAAACAACTACTGCATGAATGAAACAAACCAGTACCTGCCATACTTTTTTTCTCATCCCCACCCTTCATCAATTAGTCACGCTTACTTGATTAGTGGCTTTGCATAAAGTCTTCAGCTTTTGGTGGAAGTCTTCCCTACAACAATCTACCTCAAATCATGAACAAATCTCACCTGCAATACCAAAAGTTGGAAATATTCCAGGCACCAGATGCTAATATGAAAAATTTCACGGCTCTCATGATGCTCTCTGGATAGATGGAATTTGTGGAAAGTTCCTTACTGATTACCTAAAGGGGTGCGCTGTCTTGATTCTACAAATTTATTTTGCACCATGGATCCACACCTATTAAAAAGGTCCAGGGGAGTAATAATTGTAAGGCCATCAAGTACAATCAGGATTCATCTTGGGATCCAACAATTCAAGCAATTCGAATCCAAATTCCATAAGGATTTTACTTTTCAGGTTCATATGCCCAGTCCAGATCGATTTGATATCTTTGGAACATCCAATTGTAGGATCATAAGATCAGGATTGGGATTCTAATAACCACAGTTGCTATTGAATTGTCCAAGTCCTAGCACATCAAATAGGTTCCAAAGTCTCAACTGGCCTCACAAGTGAACCATGAAGCAAAATAAAGCACCTTTAGACACCCTCATCACCTTCCTGTGATAATCATGTCAAATTACATTTCCATGCTATTACTGCTAAACTAAAATGTAATCATGGATGCATTATCTCTTGGTTGGAAATAGAATTTGGGAACAGGTTCGAATCTAGGATCCAGTATTCACAATCTGAGGCACTTCACAAATGCTAAATTTCCAATGCTTCCAACCAATAAATATTTGACCTTTACCAAAAAGCCAAACTATGCTAAGAAACAAAATCTTTATAAGGCATTTCTTCAAACAAATTGTGCTATCTCTCCAACTCATTGAGCCTCACGTGCATAGTAATCAAATCATTACCAATATACATATCCAAGCAAAATCCCATTTCCAATAAATAATCATGAAATATTTTTCCCATCTCACAATCCAAGTAACAGACACAGGCATTTAGAAACAGATGTATCCAATTAAGTTTCACATCTCTCTGTAAAATCTGATAGCCTTGGATAACATCCAATTATGGTTCATAGCCATTATTTTGTTACTATGTGAAACTCCACAAAAAACTGGCAAAACAGCAAAGGGGTCTTTGAATTGGGTGTGTTTGCTTATGAGGTTGCTGTGAAAAAGATAGACTGGTCGAATGTCAAATGGGATTATAAGTGAATGGACTTTGTGGAGATCTCCAGACTGACTTGGTGAAGAACGGTGATACTGTTTTTGAGAATGTGACGTTTGATTTCATAAACCTAACTTGCATAAGTTTGCTGTTTTCATGAGGTGAAACTGAGGTTTGGTCTTTATAATTTGAATGGGATGCTTAACTTCTTTACCATTGGAAATAGTGTTTGGTCAGAGTCTTAGCGGTATTCCGTGCCCTTTCAATTGGATCGTAGGTCAGGATTGTGGCTAAATAGGAAAACTTGGTGGTCAGGTTGGGGTGGTCAAAGGAAAATAGAATTTTGTGTTCATTGTATCTTCGATTATTCAAATTTATATCTTCTGGTTGGGCATGTGATCATTTCCGTTGGCAAAAAATTGCTGGAAAAGTGATAAATATATGGCATATTAAAATTTTATGCCCCTTTTAGGTGCAGAAATCACTATTAGGTTACATATTGACAAACATAATTAATTAAGATGAAGAGAGAGAGTCACACTAAATTCTCTGCATATAAAATTGCAAAGATAAAAAATTGTGTCTGATATTGATCACTGTTTGGGGCAATCCATAGGCTTAAAGGTAATCATCTTCTTCTTTAGGTCATAAGCCCACATAAAAGTTCACCTGTGCCAGGTTACCATAAATGGCAATCTCTCTAGCTGGGGCAAAACCCAAGTATATGGAAAACAAGCTAGTCCTAACAAAGGTGTTCAATGGATTCATCTTCAAGTCTCCACCCCTGAAATGCACAATAATAATAGGTATGGAACTAAAATTCAACTTAGAGTAGCACAAACTTAGCATCAATTTTGGATCCTTGACCGGTTGGGCCTTGATCGTACTTTTCACGGCCGAGACTAATCGGCTGTAGAGATCCGGTGGAAGGAGGGTCAGGGTTGAACCAGAGTCAATGACGATGTTACCAGCCTGAGCTAACTTAGAAGCATTTGATGAGGCTGAGGACATGTAAAAGTCCAGCCTTTTGTTTGCAACACTGATTCCTTCCAGTGTCAAGAAATAGAAAGCATGTGGGGATTTTGAGACTATTGGAGTTGAAACCACCCCACGCCCTGAAACCACACCACTGCCTCCAAAGTTCATTTTGCTGGCCTTGGTGTTTTGGGCAGACATTGGTACCAAGCAATAAGAAAATTTGCCTCCAATGGGAGATCCCATCTGTGAGATAAGCGAAACTTGACTACCTCCGAGGCCGACTATGCCAGCTCTAGCATTGCTAAACGGGCTGTCGTTGTCGTGTCCACAGCCAAAAATGATGTCATGGAGGGTGGTGGAACCCAATTTTACCGTTTCAGTGGCGAGATCCGCGACGGAAAGATTTGTCTCCATAACTGACCGAGCACTGGCAAGTATTCGTAGTTGGGAGGCAAGAAGTTCTTGGAAAAGATAGGCATTGTTTTGAACCACAAGGTACCACTTTATATGAAGAAGAACTGTTTGGGCTGAAGAAAGGAGGCTTCTGGTTGTAGCAACGAATACAGGGCTTGCATTGTGTCTATATATGGTCACTACCAGTATCGACAATTGCAGGAATTTGAACCGGTGGGGTCCCCATGGATATCTTCATGACATATTCTCCACCATTGGGGGTTACATTGGCTGAAGCTGATTGGGGAGAGAATGACATGAGATGATGAACACGGGAAAATGAACGTTGCAAAGCATTGTTCAGGCGTTGTGAAGGAGTTAGAGAAGGGTTGTGGAATAGAGATTTTGGCGAGTCTCGGTGTATTAGATCCACAGTGAAACCACCATTGTTAGCTTCTGTGATGGAGAATCTGGAGACAAATATGATGGCAATTGCAAGAGATATGGAGAAAAACGAGTGAAATGATACCATGGTTCTTTGAGAGAGGGACAGGAAGTGTGCATGAGGTTGGCTTGTATGAAGATTAGAATCAGCATTTATAGTAAGAAAAGATTACTTGGGATTAACTTCAGATCTAGATTTTCTGGGGTATATCTATATAATAAAATACAAGGCATTTCAAATTTCCAAAGACATAAAAATGACTTTAGCTTTTTACGGTTCAGATAATTTTTAAATTAATCCAAAATCAATCTAATGGCTAAAAATCATTGCTGAAAATTAAGTTCCGGGCCAATATATCTCACACGTCTTTCTTTTTTGCCCTAAGTGTTGTCCACTCTCACGTGACGTCTACTACCCTCTCACGTCTCCCACTACCTCATTTCTACTGCACTATCTCATGTCTCCGTCTTTGTCATGTCTCTCCTATCTACTGCTCTTCTATAATTCTTTGTCCTCCCTCTCTCGGATCTCCATCACTTGCAGCTCCTTCGATTTCATTATGAAGGATGGTGACGTGAGCCATTTTTTTAAATAAAAATTTGTACTTATTATTATTATGATTATTATTATTTAAACTGTGTACATAAATTGATATTATCCAAGGGTCGTGTTGTCATAGTGTATTTTGCCGATTTTATTTTGAATAGTGGGTCTATATTGAGTGGTGACTTTTTTTTTTGCTATACATTGCTTTCAAGTGCAATTTTTTTTTTATATAATGTCTTCAGGCATGAGCAATGACTAATAATCCATATGATGTACATTATGTGTATATGTTAGAATCAAGGATCAAAATATCGTTTCGAAATGGTCGAAACGTCCGAAACGTTTCCGTTTTTAAGGAGACCAAAACGAAACAGTGATGGAATCGAACTTCTAATATTTCGAGGTATTCCATAATATTTCAAGATGTTTTATAATATTTCAATATATTTGCACAATTATTTCATAATGTTTTAAGGTATTTCAAGATATTTTGATACATTTCAATCAATGTTTTAAAAAAATAATTTTAAAATTTTTTATTTTTTTCATAATGTTTCCGAAACAGGTCGAAACGTTTCCGTTTCCTAAGTGACCGAAACAATACACCGAAACAAAATTTTAATCCTTGGGTTAGAGCTTATTTTTATGTTTTATATTTATATTTATGAGCATAAACTAACTTAGGGTAATATTGTATTTCTTTCAATCTCTTCCCCCCCCCCCTTCTCTTCCTCCCTTGTTCTTTCTCTAATAAACCCTAATATCAACTTTACATTTTAACTTAGATGATTTGTTGTTATTCAATCGTCATAATGACGTGGTATTACTGTTGATGAATATTTACTCCAACTCGAGATGATATGGTGAAGAGTAAATCCTAGATATGCTTGAAAGGTTAACATAAAAAATCCTTGAATTAATGACGTTTTGACCACAATTAACAATTGCATGTATGCATTTATGATGACAAAAAGCAACACATAATTTTTCCACATAAGTATTAACAGAAACTCAAGTTAATTACTTGAATAAATGACAAATCTAAAACTCAGATTACAACTTAATGACCAATATTTAAAAAAAGAACTAATGATTTTTATTAAACACTAGATTTCAATTCATTCCACATGTCTATCACTATATTATGAAAAGTCAAAAGAAAGAAATCTTCAATTCAAAACTTATATATTGACATTGTTCATGGTCATATTTATATATCGTTGATACTATCACAGCGCCATATCATATTTAGCCCACAATTTTAGTTGAGAAATTATCGGTCTACCTCTCCACCAATTATAGGATGAAACCTTCACATTACCCATAGCTTCAACCCAAAGATGTAGCTATTTAAGGGAACCGTCAAATAACCTCTATGTAGAGAGAATACCTACGTTCTTAAGATAAGATCTCTCCTACTCATACAGTAACAGTACTAAGCTAGGCTTTGGCTTCGCAAGCTTATCGAGCAGGACCTCAGCCTTCATTCAGCCTAGACAACGCCATGTTCATTTAAGGTTACAATACTTACTTCCAAAGCTTACACCTTAATCAAGTTGGCTTCGCACATTCATAGCCATAATGGATAGTATGCAGTATGGAAAGTAATTAAAAAAAAAACTTGTGGAAGCAGGGGCTATATTTTGGTGTTTCCTGAGAAGAGAATCTCCCAAATCAATTGAGACCCAAAGCTTACATGGCAACATATTCACTACCAATATCAAAGCAAGATTCAGCACTCGATGTTTGAGAAATAAGAAACAAGTAAATAAACTATGCTTCATTTCAATCCAATCATTGTTTTTTAAGACAGCAGATAGTGATTTCAATTCCACAAGGAAAAAGCACTATTTGGTAGATTCCATATAAAATACAGATTTTTTCACAAAGTGATCTCCTCACCTTGCTCACGAGCAATAGAAGCCGAAAGGATTCCAAGATCGCGATTCAGGAATGTTAATGCAGTTTCACACTCCGAGATTATTCTCGTGACAGAAGAAGGCTCACCAGCAATTGTTTCAGATAACCCAACAGCCACTGCTGCATGCGAGTCTCGAAGATTCTTCAGGTTCCCAAGGAACTGCCAGATAGGAGAACAAAGGGATGCCTCAGCACCAAACACTCTCAAAAATACAGTACATTAGGTAAAAGTACAAAATCTAATGCTAGTATTGGTCCTATTGGATAGCGCCAACCTCCGGTGACCGCAATATTTTCCAACAGAAGCCAAGCAACAAAGACACCACTCAAAAATTTTTGGAAACCTTTGCTTGAATTGCGTTATGGTGTGCTGAACAATTATGTCTTTCAATTTAAAGCAGAAATTTTTAGTATCGCTTACTCATATCCGCTTTATTTTTGCCTCTGGATATGAGCAAATCAACAAAACATATTCATAATGAAGTTCCATAGTGTATGCCCTTTGTTGATGGCATAGTATTGATTGAGGGATCTAAATTAGGAATTAAAACTAAATTAGAAGTATTGAAAGACGCTTTGCAATCAAAATTTTTTGATAAAAGTATCAAGCAATTCAATACATCCAATACAAATTTCATCCAAGAGACCTCAGCAATACCTTCAAGAGCGTCTTGTACGCCTCCAGCAATCTGTTAGCAGCTGGCCCAAACCCATGCAATTGAGGTACCTCCATCATGTGTGTCCAGGGACGAATTTCCTGCAAATAGCAGAATTAGGAAAACATATACATGTATGTACATGTCATCACATTCATATAAGCACATTGAAAATACACACAGACGGCTAATACAAGAAGTTTCTGCGCAAAGCCTCTTAACAATTAGAGTAGTACCATAATAGCCACAAATCCACATGATCTTGCACATCAGCATATAGATCCTTTGTCTTAAACATTTTCAATTAATGATAAAGCTACATAATAATCAAGAAACCATGTGAAGTCCCACCAAATAGTATTGTTTCTTAATTCATCATACACAGAAAATACTTTGAAACTTAGTCACTAAAAGAACAGAATCTATTGATTGACTGGGTTCAGACTGAGAAGAAACTTGAGATGACAGCATATCAAGAATATAAAGTGAATGTGAGACCAGAAAACAACCTTGCTGTAAATCGTATTGAAGGATCTTGCAGTTTCTAAAAATGATTCCAGATGTACTCGCAGTTTTGCTTCCACCTCCGCATAATCTTCATCCGGATTATACGCATGCTAGATGCCAAAAACACAAAAATGAATGTCAGCCAGGCACAACATTAACGTCACAAATTTACTGTACAAAACTAATTAGGTGAAGGAAGCTGATCACGATGTTAAATAATGCTGCATTATAGAAGGCAAAGGGTGTCAGCTAACGAGTTGGGACAAACCTTCGATGCCAAATCATCAACCATCTCTTGAAGACTCAAAAGTCTATTTGATTGATCTGAAAGCTGTTTTTCCAAGTCAGATATATCTGGCCTGCAAGTGAACTTTGATTAAAAGAACATAAAGTTACTATACCTAGTGGAGAAAAGAAACTCATAATCAAATAGTATTTTTAGCATGTGAATATGAACAAAAGCTCTAACACAAAAAAAAAAAAAATTGATCAGTCTATATCTTCCATCTAATGCACAAGCAAATGATGCACGCCATTTTTATGGATATCACATATCAGTTTTAGATCATACACCAAGTATTGTCCACAAATTAAGCAAATACCATTATAAACAAAACCCAACAATTATGAGATTACCTGAGTCTATTCGACAACCGTCAGTAAATTATAGGCATAATTAGTGGAGTCTTGTTAGTAAGTGAATTTACTGGGGGTGTTTATTTCTGCTCTAAATGTGCAGCTCTCATTATTTATCTCCTGAGGATACTCTGTCGTCTGTCCTCAAGTGGGTGTGTCTGTCAGATATATCTAATCCCTATATTGAATGCCAAGAAGAAAAGCCTTAATATTCTTTCCAACATCCTCCTTTCCTTTCCTAGGGTAGACTGGTGTTTATATATAACAGGGTGTTCAACATAGGCACTTAAAAAGAGGACATATGATAAGAATCTAATATACAAATATAAGGTTTAATGGAATGAGCAGGTTTTATTGCTAGTTGCATATTCAACAGAGGCGTGTCTAATACCAATCCTCAACTATTGCATGTCCAACAAAGATATGACGAACTTCAAGAGTTTATGTTTCAAATGCACGTGTACGCATTAGAGGTCTTCCAAGTGTCATAGTAGCAAAAACAGTCCACTATGATCACTTCTTGCATGGAACTAACCAATGTGCAAGCTTACGGTTCTCATGTAACTGAGAGATTCAGTCATCCGTCTTACTCTTGGTGTAATCCAAAATAATGTTCTCCTTCTCTCTCTCTCTCTCTGTGCGCGCGTGTGTGTGCGTGTGCGTGTGCGTGTGCCTGTATTTGTGCGAGAGAGACATTCCAACTTATTATTTATAAAACCCTAAACATCAACCCAGAACAAACTTTACAAACTCTATCCTCAAACTTGCCCCTTCCTGGATAGACTGAAAAAAAGTTCCTACATTTTCAATCTGAGGACAATCTTGGCAGATCACTTATCCGCCACTACCATGCAAAACAAATAGTATGTCCAGCAGGATTATATCATGCCATCATTCAGGATCACAGTGAAACCATCAGTACAACAAGTCCTTTCTCATTTATCAAAAAGATGAATCCATGAGGGAAATCGAGCCAACAAAATAAACTTACAATGGATATATAGATTGAATCTGCACATCTGCGGGGAACAACTTGCACTCTTCAGAGAAAATCTGAGCTTGTCGCTCAGCAATAGAATCTATCAGTTGTATATCCTTCGCCACCTGCTCATCAACACTAAGGGGCCAAAAGCAAAAGCAAAATCAGGAATAAATAATTTTATGAAACCATAGAGGAAAGCGAAAAAGAGGTTAGATTGAAAAAGTTGTGGGATTAATAATTTGGATTGTCAAAAAATAAATAATTTATTACGGTCAATCCAAAATCGATTGGAAATCATCTCAACCTCCAATCAGGATTATCAGCATAGATGCTTGCCTCCACAAGGTCTACAATAAGACGAAGCATTTCAGTACGATCTTCATAACTTCCTCGTCCCTGCACAGAAGGCGCAGAATTTAAACAACTCACACCAAAAAAAAAAAAAGGTATCTTGCATGCAAAATAATTTCCAAAGCTCGATATTCAAGTATGACGCACTACACATGTCACATACCATGAGGTATTCCTCCAAACATCAAGAGAACATTCTAGAAGCATCACCAAGGAATGAAAGGGTTTCATGATATACAAACAACAATTTGGGAGATTTCTCTACTCTGTTTCATGGGTTGTACTTCTATCCATGAGAAAAATGAGAAGGGCAGAATCTTGTATGAGGAAAAGATAGCAATAAATGAGTTGACACTTCATTGATAGTTTTTTCTTCCGTGAAAGGAAGAGGGGGGTTGGTTTGTAGCCTTCTCTAAAGCTAGAGTGCTAGCAGTTTTTGGGAAGATCATTATCTCTAAATGTTTTAGTCTCCGTTAGTTCTTTTATGCTCATGGTGAACCTAAGTTTGTCTAATAATCTTGCATGTTTTGTACTTAATTGGGTTGCGGCACCATTTTTTAGCACCCTTTAGGAAAGTATGCTCATCAAAACATTCATGCCTATCATGAGAGGGCATAGAATAGTGCAAGTAATAAGAAAATAGTCCATCTTAAACAATAAAGATCATGTAAGTTTAGTATACGGGCACTGGTTTTTTTTTGGAACGATATACAGGCACTAGCTTAAGCAACAATCTTCCAACTTCCAAGGCATGGACTTCCTGAAAGCTTGATTTTACACCACAACAACAACAAATGTCTAGAAAGAGACATGTACTTTGAACATTTAAAAGTAAATGCTAGAACTAGGAGGTTTTTTGTAGCAGCCCAAAAAACTACATATTTATAAGTGCGTCGTAATCATTTCAGAAAATGGTTAAAAAAGGTTGTACGACATGATGAACATACAAATGATATTATGGTTACAAAAATACAAACGTCAATGTAACTGGAAGCTGCTTGGAGAATTCTCTTTGCTCTCTCTTTTTTCTTACATGGTAATGGCCAGAAGATTGGAACAGTTAGCAAAAATATCTCTGGAAAAGGATGCTAGAATCTTCTCAAGTTGAATGAGATCATTGGTAAAAAATATTTGACGAATAATGAAAAAAAAAAATCATCCTACTTTTCAAAGAACAAAAATATTTCTGGCAAACAGATATTGAGTTTGTCTAAGGAAATTGCAACCCAAATTTGAGTCTCACTAAAAGGGGAGCATAACTATTAGGAGGAGCCCCAATAAATACAAGAGTAGCCATCATACTGGTTTGGTTTTGGAAAAATTTGTTCAAGGTCTCTCATTTACTTCGATAACAGGAATTAGATTAGGGTTTGGATAAGGAACTTCAGTAATGTCCCGATGACACGTATTCCTCTCATATCTTATAAACATTTCCCATAATGCTCCTAAAAGGTATAAGAAGGTTCACAAGTGTGAACATTATCTTATAAACATTATCAAATATCTTATAAACATTATCTAACCTTGTCATTTCAATAAGTACAGAGAACTAAGAGGTCATTTTTGGTTCATAACTATGAGGTACATAACAGCAAATTCATAACAACCTATTTTGAAAATAAAACTGGATAGAAACCATTGTCAACCATATAATTCAAAGAAACCAAGATGTCCGGATATTTACACGGGGACTGTCACAGCTTAGTGTAAGGAAGGCTTTCCTTGTCTTCACCTCCTTAGCAGTATAATGTAGTTGGAGAAGGAGTGGTAAACTTCAGCATGATTAAGATCCACTAAGAACATTCCCCAAAGAAGATTTGCTCAACTTTTTATGCTAGTTGTTCCAATTAACAGCAGACAGTAGACCATAGTCGGGGATTAGTATAATATGGTTCCTATACTGCATGACCCTATATTTTTTGAGTCCTTAACTAGTTAACCAGCTACTCGTATTTCACAGAATCCACTCAGTGTATATAATCTACTTCAGTAAGAAAAAGCACACTAGGATAGAAGAAAATCGACCAATAGTGTATTAATGTTGAACCAAATCGTATAATTATTTAGGTACTCTTTAATTTGTCCAACGGACAATATTATTAGAGGATCACTCCATCTAAACATTTTTGGTCTATTAAGGCCTAAAGATTAGAACATCCAAATTGACAAGCATGTGGATCACTTCTACAACCACATCACACATTGAAAAGAGGGACAAAAAAAACACCAGTGTACCCTTCACGGTGCTATTAAGCAACAGTCAATACCCATTACTACTACAAATCACCATGTACGAAAAATAGAACTCACTTGGATGGCCTCTGTATCTATGGTCATGGTAATACTCAGAAACTTTGCAATCTCTGCTAAATCTGCAACAACAAGAGATATAGAAACACCAATTCAGATTGCGGAGCAAAAAACCAACAGACCAAAAAAAAAGGAAAACCCCAAAAAGATACATGGTGCTTCTCAATCACAATATACTTGGACTTAATTTACTGACACCGGATGGACCCACAATTAATCCAATAAATTAAGTCAGCAAATTAAGTTCAAATAACATTATTGATACAGAATTTGGCCGTCCAAACACTAAGAAGACCACGCACGAAATAGCAACCCAATTAACCTCACCTCGATTGAATTGCAGACAATTCAGTAGTTCATGAATAAATTCTAGCAAATGATTGTAATAAAAACCTGTTTACATACACATATGTAAATAGTATTACATTGGATGCGAGAGGTCTCTTCGTCACGAGCAATGGCGTCGCCTTGTAGATTTTGTTGAGAGAATGGTGATTTGTCGCCCAATAGCCTGCAATTCACCACAAAGATGATGACTTGAATAAATGTATGTACAAAGAGATAAAGAGAGCGTGGGGAGGGTTTTAGAGAGAGAGAGAGAAATACTTGAAGAAAAGCCATTCGAGAAGGGCGTAGCGCTCCATGCCGGCGAAGAGGAGAGACTGAGCGGGAGCATTGGCTCTTGGGTAATTCAACATTGCTAATTTCTTCTGAATTTCTTCCATCTGCTTCGCTGCCATTCGATCCTCTACACACTACACTAAAGAGACGGACAGACAGATATAGAGAGAGAGACAGAGAGAAGCTTTGATTTAAGGGAGAATTATACTTAGACCCCTGAAATTTGTCATTTAATCACTTAGACTCCCTGACATTTGAAATATTATATATAACCCCTAAAATTTGTACACGAGTAATACTTAGACCTCTGTTGTAAATATATACGTTAATAAATTACACTTATACCCCCTTGAAGCTTGTAGGTATATAATATTTAGATCATTTAAGTTTAAAATATTATACTTAGACCAAAAAAATTTCAATCAAAGATAGAATATCAAATATTTTAAATTTTACAATTAAAATATTTTATATTATATAATTTATTAAAATAAAATTTTAAAAAATAAAAATTTATTTTTTCTTAGAAAATCGTAATTAATATACAATTATACTATCTATTAGAAGAAAATAAAAAAAAATCAAACAAGGGGTCTAAGTCATTCATAATAGAACATAAATTTTACATCCAAAATTCATATTCTATTATGTCATTTATTGAAATAAAAACAAATAAAAATCTAATTTTTAAAAAAAAAACATAGTTAGTATTTAATTATACTATCTATTAGAATAAAACTAAAAAATTAAACAAGAGGATCAAATTGTAATAGACATAGTTTTAAAACTCGGCCCGCACATCAACCAGGGAAAGGGACCAGGTCAATGGGTCATTAGTTCAACCGTTGAGTCACTGGCCAGTCTGGTCGAACTGGTCAAATAATAAAAAAATAAAAAATAATTATAAATAAGCCAAAAAAATCCCAATAATTATGAAAATAGCATCAAATGTGTGTGTGTGTGTGTGAGAGAGAGAGAGAGAGAGAGAGAGGACTGTCATGTGCAGTTGTGAGGAGCAGTCGGTGTTGAGGACCAGCAGAGGACAAAGGCAAACAAAAGAAATGAAATTTGGGCAAAAAATACCCTAGAAACTTCCTTTTACATCATTTGACTTAAACCGTCCGGTTCAGAACAAATTGTCCGGTTCACCGAATTTGTTATAAAACCGGCCGAGTCAATGGGTTTTATCCGGTTCATTTGCTTAAATGATTTAATAACTAAACCGGCCCAGTTCAGGCTCCGCTTCATTGGTTCACCGGGTCAACTCGCCGGGCTAGGCCGACTTTTAAAACACTGGTAATAGACACAATATATTTTAGATTTAATTGAAAAAATTTGGTATTTTAATTTGGTCATTTAAACGACTAAATTAAATTCTAATAGACAATATAATTATATACTAATTACGATTTTTTAAGAAAAAATTGAATTTTTATTTTTGATTTTATTTCCATAAAAGATACAATAAAACATGAATTTTAATTGTAAAATTAAAAATATTTGATATTTTCTCTTTGATTGAAGTATTTTTTATCTAAGTAAAATATTTTAAATTTATAGGGTCTAAGTAATATATGTTTACAAACTTTAGGGGGTATGAGTGTAATTTATTAACGAATATATTTATAAGGGTCTAAGTGTTACGCGTGTACAAACTTCAAGTGGTCTGTGTGTAATATTTCAAATATTAGGGGTATAAATAATTAAGTGACAAATCTCAAGAGATTTAGATGTAATTCTCCCTTAATTTAATCATCACTCTCAAAACTCTTTTTGTTTTATTTTTGAGTTAATTGTAAATTGTATCCCAAAAGATCGTTCGAATTTTAATTTATACCCTCAAAGATTAAAATTTATATCAATGTACAACCCCAAAGATAAAAAAATCTCAATTTACCCCCTCAAAAATAAAATTTGAATTAGTGTGTACCCCCAAAGATAAAAAATCTCAATTTACATCCTCAAAGATAGAAATTTATATCAATGTGCACCTAAAACTAACCGTTGTTAGTTTGCTACCTAAAACTAAATTAATAAACATAAACTCCCTTATACTTGTCACTTAATCATTTGAACCATTTCCAACTCGTGAATATACGGATGAAGAGTTCCAGTCCATCATCAAGAAAGTCATGGGAGTGTTGTATGTATCTTTAACTTTTGTATTCTTTCTTCAAATCCTTGGTCAAGCTTCTATTATATTTGTTCAGAAGTAATTTTTCTAGGTTTTGACACAATTTTTTTATTTATAAACTATTTTGGATGATAATGACTTGTGGTAAACAGGTATTTACTAGGATTTTTCTATCCAATCTCTCGTTTGATCAGCTATTCAGTGCTTGAGAAGGTTTGGCAATGAGTATGATTGTGTTGTTTGTTATTTATGTTATGTATTGGTGAACTTGATTTCTCCTTTTAGATGACCTTCTACATGATTCTGTCATGGGTTTTATCTGGCATATGGGGCAGTTCCTTCAATCATGTGACCTCTTTGTGTATCTTACTGAATAGCTGATCAGATGAGAGATTGAATAGAGAAATCCCAGTAAATACCTTTTTACCACAAGCCATTATCATCCAAAACAGTTTATAAATAAAAAAATTGCGTCAAAACCTAGAAACATTACTTTTGAACAATTATAATAGAAACTTGACCAAGGATTTGAAGAAAGAATACAGAAGTTAAAGATACATATAACACTCCCATGACTTTCTTGATGATGGACTGGAACTCGTCGTCCGTATATTCACGAGTTGGAAAGGATCCAAATGATTTGGGTCCAAATGATTAAGTGACAAGCATGATGGGGTTTAGGTATAATTTATCAATTTAATTTTAGGTAGCAAATTGACGGCGGTTAGTTTTAGGTGCATATTGATACAAATTTCTATCTTTGAGGGTACAAATTGATTTTTTATCTTTAGAGGTGCACATTGATACAAATTTATATCTTTGAGGGGACAAATTAAGATTTTTAATCTTTGGGGGGTGTAGATTGATATAAATTTTTATTTTTGAGAGTGCAAATTAAAATTTTTAATCTTTGGGGATATAAATTAAAATGTGAACGATTTTTTGGGGTGCAATTTATAATTAACCATTTATTTTTTTGATTTGATCTGCGTTTAAAATCTCAAACTCTTTTTCTTTTGTTTATACGGTTTAAAAATATAAAAAAAAATTCAAATTTTATTTTGAAAATATTGATCTAAATAAATATATAAGAACTTTTTGAAATACCTCAAAATATTTTAAAATATTAGTGAAAATATATTAAAACACTTACAAATATTAAAATTTTGGTTTAATCACAAATTGCTCCCAAAAAAATCTCTTGAATCTTAATTTATACCCTCAAAAATAAAAAAAAATTAATTTGTACCCTCAAAGATATAAATATATATCAACGTGCACTTGAAACTAACCGTCATCAATTTACCGTAAAAAATTAAATGGATAAATTACATCTAAACTCGTTCAGGTTATGGGTAAATAACACCTAAACTCTTTCAGGTTTGTAACTTAATCATTAGACCCCCTCACATTTAAAATATATTTAACTATATTTACTTTGTTGTCCATTTGTTTTGGATATGATCACTACTTAAATGTTTTGTTTATCTTACAACAATTTTTGAAATTGAAACTAAAATTAGTTTATGTTTAATTGAATTGGTGTTCTCATAAAAGTAATAATAAACGCAAAAAAAAAGGTATTTTTTATGGAATGAAGAGTTTAATCTGTGTTGGAGATTAAGCTAATCTCTTAATATTTAATTATTTTTTATTAGTAAGTTTGTAGTGTTTTAGGAGTTGTTATTATGTTATGAGTAGAATTAATTTTGTTACCAGACTTCTTGAATATGTGAATGTGAAATAGTTTTAAATTAGTAAAATTATATTTAGAAGTTTTCTTGATTTTCTATTGTAATGTGAGAAAGCCTTATTGAATTCAAGAAGTCATTGAATGCATCCAATAACTTTTTATTTTATCATCTTCATACACTTCGTATTTTTAAAAAATATAAACATAATTTTATTATCTAAAACATGTGCATTACTAGTAAGCAAAGAAGTCTGGTAATGCATAATCACTTGTATGAGAGGAAGTGGACCTATTATTATTTTCTTTGGTTATATCAGTTTTACACCCCATATTTACTGCATAGAGTGAGGGAGACAACAAGTAAACAAACCGAAAGGTTCACACAAATATCTCTCCCGCACACCCAAATATCATTAACAGTCTCCTTTCTTCTTGCTTTCAGTTGCAGAATCAATGTCTCCCTCCGTCTCCCTCCCTCTCTCTCTATATTTCTCTCTCTAAAGATGCTTACTTTAAATCTTTTTCCAACCTCAAGTGTCACTTTCTCCAGATCTGGTTACAAGTATCCAATTAATGATTCACTTTTGGGTCAAAAACTTGTGAACGAGAACCAAAACCAGAGAACCCCACATGTTCCATCTCTTCCACTCAACAAACACATCTCTCACCTTAATGAACCTAGGTTGAGTTCAAGCTTCATCAATATCCATGGCTACTCACTTGGGTCTTTTTCAAATCCCACATCTCATATCTCCAACCTCAACATTTTTGGACACCAAGTTGGGTTTTCTTCAAAACCTACTTCTAATATCCCTCAAGCAGCATCTAGAACCTCACAAGAAGCAAACCCGAATGGAGAAATTGAGGTTTCAAAGTCCAACAAATCCCTTCAACTTCTTGTCATTTTTGGCCTCTGGTACTTCCAAAACATTGTGTTCAACATCTACAATAAGAAGGTATTGAACATCTTCCCATTCCCATGGCTTCTTGCCTCTTTTTAGCTTTTTTTGGGTCTCTCTGGATGCTCATTCTCTGGTCTTTCAAGCTCCAACCATGCCCAAAAATCTCCAAATCATTCATCATTGCCCTTCATGGACCTGCACTGTTCCATACAATTGGCCACATCTCAGCCCGTGTCTCATTCTCTAATGTGACTGTTTCTTTCACCCATGTAATCAAATCTGCAGAACCTGTTTTCTTTATCGTGTTTTCGTTGATCCTTGGCGATACATACCCATTAACTATTTGGCTCTCAAATCCTCCCCAGTGTTATAGGTTGTTCTCTAGTTGCC